ATGAAACTGTCGAGTTCAAACAATTTTTAAAACTGAGTTGCCTAAAATACAGCTATTTATAATTTATAGCATAATTTGATAGACGTTATGAATGTACGAACCCCCTAAAATAAAAGCTTCAATATTCTCTCATCACACTCTAAATAGCGCTCAATTTAGTCAACCTTTCTTGACAATCAACTTCTTTGTCATATTTTATTTTTATCAGAACACAATTTTTCGTTTTTGAAGGATTAAGTTATGGAAAGGAGAGGAATTTAAATAAAAATTGATATATTGATATATCAAACATGATTGCTTTTTCTGTCGTGTATGATAAAAGGTAAACAAAGAATAACGTACATATGTGAATCCATTCATATCTCGTTCATATAATGTATTTTATTACATTTACAACATGTGGTTATAATGCAAAGCAAGCAAAATCATACCTTTTGAAAAAGTCCCGGTTGCATTTTTTATAAGACATGGAAAAAAGAGATAAATAAATTTCCTTATTGTTGTTGTCGGATTGAAGGAAAAAGGCAAGCAAACAATCTCATCAGAAGTAAAAGATATTTACTTATGCATGATTTAGAATGAATGAGATTCGCAAACTTTTTTGCATGAAATAAACTTTATTCTTTGCTGCTTTCAAGTGAAAAAGGATATCTTTCCACCTACTCGGAGGAATGAGCAACCATACACGACTAATGGCTCACGACAAAGTGCGATAATTTATAATATTTCTCACATACAATTTAATGAGTGATTCTATTCATGTAAAGCACTGATACTGTCATCAACCTAACAACTGTAATTTATCAGCAGAAATAAAAAGTGAAAACAATTTTAAACTTTTACGATTTTCGCATCAGGTAATGTCATTTGTGTCTATGTCTCTTCATATGATATGTTACGTTTGTTATTATCAGAATGGATTTTATTACGTCGTCAATCAAAATTGATGCTAGTTCGCTATCGTAGAGATCAAGAGTGGTCTTAACAGAACAGAATTGAGTCATAAATTTTAAAAACCAATGCAGATAACCGTGGATTGACTCACTTAATTTGATGGTTGGTCAACCAACTCATATTCTTGGAATGCTTATGGACAAAAGGATTAGCAAAGAATGACTAATTTGTGGTCAATCTTATGAAATTCGGTTCTTTTTGATCAGTTTCTGAGAAAAACTCAAGACAAACTTGAGTTTTATGAAGAATTGAAGCTAATATTTGCACAGAGAGGCACAAATAATTGGTGGAGTGAAACGAAAATTATCATTATGCATAATTCATAAATTTTATCATGACATAGAAGCGTAATACTTTTATAAACAGAACATTTAGTTCATCAACAATTTTCGAGTGACAAGAGTTTAAAGGAAATTAATTTTCACATGTGAAAAATGAATAGCATGTGTATGATAATTTCTACCGTCTGCTATGAAGCTATGCAAAGGAAAGTATTACTAATATTCGAATGAGACCTTGGATCCGTAAAGAAAAGAAGGCTTTCTAGTCAATAGCACTTGGACACGAGCTAGTCAGTCCTAAGCTCTAAGGGAAACCCAAAACAATGATTTTATCATCTCAAATATCTTTGTGAATCGATATCGACACAATCACGAAAGTATTGAGTGAATTGCAAATGAAAAACAGTAATTTAACGGATCATAAGTCGCTGTATTTCGTATGTGTGAAATAAAATCATTTTCATTTTTATTTTTTTGCAAATGAAGTGATAATAGAAATTAGCATGCAAAGAGAAGCAAAGTAGAGAGAATAAATTGAATGAAATTACTTTATCGTGAAACGAGATGAAGGCGAGTTGATTACGAAAAAAATGAAATGAAGTTAATTATTGCTAGAATAAAATTTGATTTCAACATGTGAGCTACTTGAAATAACAGAATACCTAATCTTTATTCTATAGCAGTTCTCATTTCCTTTCCAGATCTTATACTTCTTTTATTAGTGGAATTTGTGTATCAATTACGTCTAGTCATGACTTATAGACGTCATTAACGAACAAACCTCTCTATCATGATCCAAAGAGTCATTTAGATGATGACGAAAAAAGCCTCAAAAAACCAATACTAGGAAAATTGCTAGTGAGATATGAGAGAAGCGAACTTATTAAAGCTTTTCAAGAGAACTGAAATTCCATTCAGTCAACCAACTATAAAATCAGTTAAACGAGCCAAGCTCATTTGTTTTGTGCAGAAAATATGGTCAGAAATTTCACAATTTTATTTCCTATTATATTACATTTTTTATGACGATTCTGTCTTTAATCATCTTATGACTCATGTATGTGTTCGTTCATCTTTCTCTCGATTTTGTCATGATGCTATTTGAAAAGAAGTGAGGTGATGCAAATTTTTTTTCTCTTCATTATTAATGTATGAATGAAACCGGCAACTAGAAATTCAATTTGTAAAGCCCGCAATGTTGCCAGCTTTTAGTTTATTGTTTGTCCGCGTGTGTTTTTTGAAAAAAGAATTAAAAAAATCCCCGGCATCGTAACGAACGAACGAATGATAGGTGAAAAAGAAAACGAAAGAGAAGAAAAATCATTCAAGACTTTAAACAGGTTTAAATTTTACTTGCTATTTTTTCAGTAAGTTCTTTTTTGTGTACCGGAGCGACACCTGTACTTAAGTATTTCTCTCATTCAATCTGTTTGTCACTCGATGGTCAAATTATTTTTTTTTTCTGGAACGAGTTCCATTGACATTTTCAGAATCTTTTCATCTTTTTGATACGCGTCGAATAATTTCATGTACTAACGTATATGCACACATTGATGGCTTGTCCAAATAGCAACTGTAATTGATTCCAGTTACACAAAAAAGAGAAGAGAAGAGTTAAAATTAAGGTGCAACAGTGAGGAAGAACGGAAATTGAAAAATAGAATGTTGATTCAATAACAAGAATTGTTGAAATAGTTTGAATGATAATGTTAATTTGTGCTATGTCCAATAACTCTTTTTGATCCGGCTTAATGATTATGGGGTTTTTTTTTGCGCTATCTATTCAACAAAGACTCGGACTTTCTATTAAAAATGCTTTTTTGGATGTATTACATGAATAAAACCTTTACATGTGATGGCCGACTGATAAAAAGTGACTAAGTTGGTGTGTAGTGTGTGTGTAAAACTTATTTTGAGCGGGAAAAGACTCATTAGATTAAATGTGAATAATTTCAAGTATATATAGCACAATTTGTACATATGAACGTTTTTATTTTGCATTCGAAAGTCCTTCAAATGTCATTGAAATTTCTCATATATGAATCCAGTCGTCTCAATGTGGTATCATTGCAATTTATTCTAAAATGTTTCTCAATTTTCAAAAATCCGATATAAAAACATCTTCTCGCTCATCTTTTTCAAAATAACAAGACAGATTTATTTTTAGGAACCGCACGATTCGCCAGTGAGCATGCTTACACTTTGGCACACAAGAAAAGTTCTCCATAAAGTAAATTATATGGAAATAATTGAAAAAGTTTGATGCCCAAGAAAGAAGTTCCTGATATCCTATAATAAAGTTAATGGAATCATTTTATCTCCACAAATTGACAGTTTAACGTCTTATCAGAAGTCAGGGTGAAAAAGTTTAGACTCCCGTCAGTTTCAAATTAATAAATTAGGATCTTGATTACAGCAAGACATACAGCACTTAGAACTTATTCCAAGCCAATTTGTATCAGTTTTTAACGTCGCAAAAGCCATAAATCACATGACACCGAAAACAAATGTATCGAATCATAAAATTTATCCCGTATAACAGCGCATCCAATAAAGTCTATACTTGCACAGACTGAAAAACCGAAAAATCATGGAAGTAGAGTGAGCGTGGATGACGATTAAACTGATGGTATGAATTAATTTGTTACAATTAATTATTTTCGTCAGTGGAAGAGACTATTAAATGATTAAGAGTACTTAGTGCTCTGTTATGCTCGAGAATGAGTCTTCTTTATATCCACGACAATCGAGTCTCATTCTTGGAAGTAATGAAAATTTAATGACAACTTTATGTGTGTGTATCGAGGTAGAGGGTGGACAGAAAAGAGCTTAAAATTTAGTCAGTTTCTTTAAATCAACTTTAAACAGAATTAAATGATAAAAGGTTATAAAGCATGGATTTTTCTTTGTGCAAAAAAAAAGCAAGAAGGAACGACTCTAACTAGAGAAAAAATATGGTTCCATAGAAGTTATTGATTTTCTACCCATCTCTTTTACTCTCATCGTCGTCGTCGTTGAGTTTACACTTTACGTAGAAAACTCATACATATAAAGGAAGCTTTAACATGTTTTTTTTCAGTGTCTTCTTTTTATATCTCCTGAACGAGAACATGATGGAAAGAAAAGAGGAACGAGATTCTTGGAGATTTTCTATACTTTTTATTTTGGTATGAAGAGATGAGGAGAGAACTATAAAGCTTCTTTTCGTGGGCAAATCGATTGAATGTATTTGTAGGAATAAGAATATGCTTGTATGCATGAATGTCTATAGATGATGATGATGAGGGGGTGAATGAAACTGCTGAATAGTTGAGGAAAAATGCAATTTTTTTTTGTCTAAAACCGCTATACTTATTTGTTTAACAAGCAAAAGTAAGATACAGCAGGTTGAAACTATGATAATCGTATGATTAACGATATATATATTTAAGAAGCAAGCACACACACACATACTAATGATGACGCATAAGAACATGCGAAATTTCAAATTGCCGATTTTTTTTTCTTTCTCATTTAAAAAAGTTCATGTAATTTAATTTTCACAATGTTAATCTCTATAATATCACAATAATTCACATTTGATCAGTTCATTAATGATTTTTCATCACATTTTGTGTGATTACAAGTCCATTTAATTATAGTTTTCACAATTTTAACGGCATATCGAACCTTTTTATTAAGAAGCATGGAAGCCATTGATGAAAAAAAGAAGACGCTTACTTTTCACATTAAATTACACTTAATCCAGCTTATTTTTCTACTTACCATCGTAGCGCTCTGCTTGTTCAGCTAACTTAGCCTTATATACATTATTTTCGCGTTCAGACATGTTGGTTTTTGTTGAATTAATTTTTTTTCTTTTCACACAATTAGAAAATTACGTCTTATCTCTATGCAATACAATTTTAAACTGAAAAAACTTCGCAACATTCCACCCCTCGAGTCTCTCTCTTGCGTAACTGCTTACCCCTTGACTCAACGAAAACTACTCTTTTCAAAAATCTTCCAACCGTTAAACACTACTTTTTTGAATTTACAGAATTTATTAATTAAACAGCTTTTTCGATGTTTTCAATATATGCGACATTTATTCATAATAAATGCTATTTCAAGGAGAAATTAAAATTGTGCACAATTGAGCTTAAAGCCCTACATTTTCAATAAGACACAACACAATTATCACAAAATGTGGTTAATTCAAGCTTAATCTGGTCTAATAAGATCTTTTTGGGTAACAAATTTCGAGTATTTTAAAAATATAAAAAGCAACTTAAATAAAAAATCACGCTTAAAGCAGCAGCAGCATTAATAACATGGCAATCAATGGCACCATGCGTAAAATATCAGTTCTGTATAACATATATATTCTTTTTTTTTTGGTCATTTGGCATAACTGGGAAGATTCTTAAAGATTAACGATTAATAAGTCACAATGAGATAAGTCAAAAAAAAAAAAAAATAATTAATTTAAACATTCGTTTCTTCCCGATTATTGTTATTTTTATAATTTTCTGCTCTTTGCACTTCATTGTCAATAAAGTTCTGAACTTTATTGCCCTTTTTTCGAGACCTCGTTCGTGCCTCATTTTCACTGTGTATGAAAAGATCAAGCTGCGATCCAGTAAAATCATTTGCCAATAACCGATCCCATTTCGATGCACTTTGAATATAATTTCTAGTTCTACTTCTAGCTGATGCGATTTCTGCTTCCTTCTTAATAATAATTTCATTTGTAATATAAGCTTCACGACGAATCTGATCTCTTAGTTCGGCTGAAACGTCTGGTATTAACCATCTAACGAGTAGCATGACTACAGCAACAGTATTCTCGAAAATTACCACAAATATCAGTCGAGCAGCCATTACATTCCAAAATTCAGCTGTACGAGAATATTCATTTGGATGATTTGGTGGATATCGGAAATCTTGATAACGACATTCAGTAACATTCACAAAATCCGTCTTTAATGGTTGAGTTCCATTTCTAAACTCTAAAACATCAAACTTTGACAATGTCCAATCAACATATCCCGTAAGATTACCATGTTCTGAGTAATATAAAACATAGACGAGACGAGGTATAAAGTCACTTGTAAATGCAATTATGAAGCCATTAGTGATGACACTTAATTTACTAATACAATCTAATATTCGATACCAAATACCAATGCTTCTAACTCTTGCAAATATTGGACGTCGATAATGTTGGAGTAATTTTTTAGCATCAAATCTCATCTCAAAGATATTATTAATCAAGGCAAATGTCGGTGCTAAAGGAAATGCCACTACAAAAATTGTAATAAATCCATATTGAAGAATCATTTCTAAATATTCAGGAAATAGACCTCTCGATCCAAATTCAATCAATTTCAAGTCATTTACGTATCGTCTATCCTTCTTTAATGATCCATCACGATTCTTTCCGGTTCTTAAACGTAGTCTGTTGGCATATTTCATGACGACTGGCCACAGCATTTCAACGCATGCACTCATCGATTGTTTACCTAAAAAGTAATAAAAATGATTTCATCAATTCGCTTTGTTAATAAAGGAGAGTCTATTAACCTATCATAATAATAGCCAATTGAATAAACAACTCCATAAGACATCCTCCAATACCGCATTCTTCTTGACGAAAATCGAAGAATCTATTGTAACTCTGAAATAAATATAAGGAAAGAGAAAAATTTAGATCAAGGATTGTTTGCTAATTGCAGTCAATTGTTTAAGTAGGTGTAGTCACGAATGACTGAATGGCGATAACGATCTACTCCGTACAAATGTTGTAATAACGGCTAATAAATATTTAAAAAATAACGATTGCAAAATATTTGAAAATGAGCCAGTTGAATTCAAAGTTGAAAAGTCCGTTAAAAAGTAACATAGGTAAGTAGTAAAAAGCTACCTAAAACGATTGACCTACAAAAACTAGACAAAACACGAATAAAAAGATTTGCTTTTCGATCGCGAAAATGTTCTATAAATAGTTTGGGAATTACCTTTGGTGATCCGATGAACTTGCCTTTGAAAAAAGCAATATAAAATATACTCGCATAGTAATTAACAAATTGTAAGAGATAAATTTTAAGCGTTAAGCTATCGTCGAATTCAGTCTGAGTACGAAGTAATTCGAGTTCTGTAAGCCACTCAGCAAGAGATTCATAAGCATAATTCATTATAACCTGAGAATAAAAATATGTGGAATTAATTCTCGTTCTGAACACAAAATTGGCATTAATTGACTTACAATGAGAATTAAATTAATAATAGCAGCTGTTGTGGTTGTAAATAGAATTGTAAAGGAAGTTGATAAATCCCGATAAAAGCTCAGTGATGCTAAAACTGACATGCGATATAAAACAACACCGAGTACAGTCGCAACAGCACATGCAATTAAAAGTAACACAACCGAGATGGACAGAAGAGTTGCAGGAAGTTTCATCCTCCAAAATGGGACATTTGGTTCCGATACATTCGTCACATAATCCTTTTTCTCTCTTTTGATTGATTTAAGTCGAGCAAGATCTATTAAATATTTATTTAAGCTTCAATTGAAACAAAAACTCGTCAATAATTCAACTTACATTGAGGCCTTGGATGTTCTTCATGGACATCAAAGCCAGTCAAATCCCATCGATGAGTAATTTCAGCACTATAGCGTTTCCAGTTTTCAAGAAATAGGGCAGCCCAAAAGGACATAAAAATGGCGAAAATGACAGTTACATGATTGTCAAATAATGACGTTATCTGAGATTGTAGGCACGTTTCATTGAGTTTCCAATAGTCACATAAATTGTCACACAGTGGGCACATGACATATGTTGTATTTTCTTGACACACTTGCTCCGTGATTGGATTCTGATTCATCAATTTGATTGAGTAGAAAAAACTAATTATTCCGGCAATTGATGCTAGAATCAACATATACGTATAATACCTAGAATCACAGAAAATTGTTAATTTGCAACAGTGACTCATTGACAACTTGTTTTCTTTTTACTCACCCAAGCCATGCAAAATATATTCCAATTTTAACACCAAAATAATTTTTGATGTAGTCCAATGGCTGATATTGAAAGATTTTTCTCACACTAGCCCATTTTGTAAACAATAAATGACGTCTGCTACCTTTGGTAGAAAGTTCACCGTCATGCAATGCATATGCAGCAATATAAGTCTGATCATCAACCAATCTCTCAATTCCAAAACTAAAATCATGTGCTTGCTCTTTTGAGAATCTTTGGCGATCTAAAATGAATTGGACGACTCTAGCGCGAACCCATGTTGTGAAAAAATTTGGCTGTTGTAAGTCGAAAAGATATTCTTTATCACGAGAATATATAGCTGTAAAACGGTGCGAAATTGGCGGGAAGTGCTTCTCATCAACAATAAACTTTCTCATAAAACCTTTCATAAAATGATTAAAGGTTGATTTTGTACGTTCACTGACTGTTGTCAGTCCGGGAATCTGCAAAATAAGATTGAGTTCATTAACATTCTGCTGGGAAAGTTGCAAGGGAGAAACAGATTTGGACATTTTGTGTAGGATTGATGCTTTGATTTGATTTGTTTAATACTTCCTGTCTTGTTAAACAATTAAACTCAAAGCAACCTAAATTGTACACAGCATCTCCAACATGTCACCCCTTTCAAAAATCCTCAAAATATCGCAAATTTTTGTCACTTGTTAGAATTACACTAATTCTTTCGTTAATAGGGAAAATCACAAGTTTATGTTAATTTTGTTAACGCATTATCATAACAACCACAAGAAAGAGCTAAGCTTTGCCAACACCCTCAAAAATCAAATTTGGATAAAAATGAAAGCGTCAAAAAATAATTTTGTCTCCACCTTGTCAATAAATGTTGCACGTCTTTGTAGATTATAGGCCTTTTGCATACATAAAGACTGTAATAGTGTAAATTAAATTTAGTATAATAAATAATAATAAGAATTAGATTCAGTGTTGCATGCTGGCAAGTTGTCTGCATCAGTTAAAATCTGACAGAGATAATTTTTTTTTCGAAACTGTCTTCATGTAGATTTTGTCTATATGATGACAGAACTACATTATACCTCTAGTGTAGACATCTTCATTTGCAACACTGATTAGATTTGGATATATACAAAAAAGTTTTATGTTGAAACTTATTCGTTTCTCGATGTGCGAATGTAAAACACATGTGCTATGTTTTTATATCTCCCCAAAGACAATTTCACGCATATTAATATGGCACTTTTCACATTTAATTAAAATATATACGAAGATTATGAGTTCGTTCATGCGATGTTTTGTTTCAATTCCAAAGGATGTATTTATGTTCTCAAACAACAAATTAATTCAGTACATTTGCATTAACGACACAATGAACTTATGTATGGGTAGGGTCGATAAACGTTTGAAAATCACGAAAATTTGGGACAATACGTATACGTAAAAAGTTAGTAATTACGTAAAATGTTAATTTTGTTACGTATACGTATAAGAATCTTACGTTCAATTTATTTTTAAGGTGAGTGCGCACTTTGTCCATAAATGCGCATTATACGAACATACAACCGCACTATGTACGTGTAAATGTATGCTCGCATTTTGAACACGAATACATATGTTACAAACCCATATGCGCACTATGTTCGTGAACACAACACGTATAAATGTATATGCGAATTTTGGACATCATTGCGCACTATGTGAACGTAAGACATACATTGAGAAATACGTACGCGAACCGTTTTGACTTTAAAAAACCGCTGAACGTCCTGAAATTGAAGTAAACTTTCCAGGCATTATTAAAAATGTTTAAAAATCTATTTTGAAAGCTGTTAAAACAATTATAACAAACAGATGAAGTCAAATGCGAATTGTCTAGTGTTTATGAAGTTTTTTTGGGTTTTGAAACGGTTCTTTTAGTTTTTATATGTAATCTATTATGCTACAAAATTGAATCTTATTTCTTGAATGAGAACATAACTTGTTATTGAGTCTTAGATTATTGACATTTACCTCTTTCATTGGCATACGTAATTTTAAGATTTCTGCATATCTTCTCAGAACTTCTAGTGGTGCATGAATTTTAACAAAATGAATTTCATCGTCAACGACATACTTCTCAAGTTGAAGTCCTTCAATTTGTAAATTTTCTTCGAAAACTTGACGCCTTGAAGCTCTTGCCTCTTCTTCCTTTGTTATTTTATCCAATTCCTTAGCTTTCAATGCATCAGTTTCATCGTAATCATCTGGCGGCAATATTTTTTTCCATACCAACACGTAATCAACGGAACGACTTCCATCATCAAAAAACAAAGAAGGGTTTGTTGTGCCCTCTCTGTCGCCAAAAGGATTTTCAGGATAGTCTGTCTCATCGTATCCATTCTCTCCATTATTTTCTCCGTTTACATGAAGATATAAATCAGATTGCGTCTTAGAAATTACTTCAAACTCTTGTTCATCACTAATATCATCGTTTGGTTCATCGAACTTCATTGATGAGCGCATTGATGTGCTAGTCGGACTATTTTCCTTAGACGCTCTGAAAATGACGAAGATATAACAATTAAAAATATGGTAAAAACTTGTTGAGCTACGTCACTAGTAACGTCATGAAACAAAATTCCTACTTAAAGACTATATAGTTTTAGTAAAAACCACAGCAAACGCAAAATTAAGAGCGAAACCGGAAATGATCAGAAATATGAAATAAAACGTTAGGCTGACAATCTAGTTGAAGGTCGATTGTAAGAATAAATCGAGCGTACACGCAGCAGTTTAGCAAGCGGCAAACTTTACTACAAACACAAGAAATACCTTTGAACTTACAGAAACTTATCCTTTCCATATAAATCATTCAATAATTCGTCTTTGGTATGTAATGATGACCGATTTGAGACACTAGACGTAATAATAATTATCACTTTTTAATACATATGATAGGAATTTCTCTGCTTCTTGTATTATTTCGATCAAGCGTGAATCATTTGTGTAAATTTCGTGGTAAAAAAGATCACTAATACTCACTTATCATCCATTTTCAATTTCTCATCTTCGCCATCCAGCAGACTAAGTTTGGACATTGCATTTAATTCACTTATTTCATTCCCTAGGAATGACTTTGTCTTGGATTTTGCTTTGTTATCGTTTAATAGCTGGCGTCGATCCCCTACCGATTCATTATTTAATAGACTTTTGTTTCTAGCTGCGATGTACCAATCATTATCCAGCTTCTGTTTGTCGTCGTCTAATTTATGTGAATATAACAATTAGAAAGCATTAAAAATAAGTCTTATGTTGTTTCCGTTTTATTTTTAGAATGTAACAAGTTTCTTGCTTGCAGAAATGTCTAATTTTAGATGATTTTAATGCTTTTTAAAGGTTCACAGCCAAAACTTCCCATATGATTCTCGATCTTTTGTCAACAATTCATTTTAACTCACTTAATGCACTTGATTTCACAAGATGATTGTATATTTAACTAGTCATAAATGCTTGGAACTTACCCATTCAAATAAATGTGTCGAGTTATGCAAATTAAAGTAAAATTAAGCAGAAAAGCTGCCTTTTTTCGTCCGTTCATGAACGATTTTGTGAATGAACTGAGGAAAAAGCTCTCTTTCCTCTCACATTTGCTGTGGGATGAATCATCAGTTATGGACTATTCATGCTTTACCTTTTAACACACATGAAAATGGCTTAAAACACTCAAATTAATTTAATTTTCTTTTTGGCAAGTTGTTAAATAATTTTGCTTTGTTTACATTTTTCAACTGAATTCAAATTTTTCATGGCTGTTGAGATTTGAATTTTAAAATGGAGTTAAAACTTAATAATGTCAAGTTTTTTAAAAACCACTAAATTTACCATGTTCCTTAACTCCTGTATGATGCACAGTTATTCTATTCTCACATTCTCTCACTGTTCGAAAATCTCTCTATACAATCAGCTGTTTGCTGTCGAAGGAACTGTCAAAATAGTATTGTTTTCTTATGTTGCACAAACAAAGTTCAAAATAATAAAGTTTTCTTATCGAATACAGCGTGATTTCAATGGCAAATATTGTCAGGCATCTCCTTAATACGTAAGTAATGTATTAAGCTTATCAGAAATCTTAATTCGTTGTTTGTTTTTATAGTTCTCGTCAAAATTTATTTTTGTTCGGAAGATTATCAAAATATTCATCCACAGCACAGCAGAATGAGTTGAAGCACGATCTAAAATTAAGTGATTCATGTGTGAAAAGATTAAAGGAAATATGTCAAGATGGATCGTTCCTTAGAGTCATTGTTGAGGTAAATTTTAAACATCCAGCTGAGATATTCTGTAAGATCCAGTTATAATTTTAGGGCGGTGGATGTAGTGGATTTCAGTACAAACTAGACATTGATAACAATTTAAATCCAGATGATTTAAAATTTGGCCCAGATGATGCAAAAGTTGTAATAGATGAGACATCAATAGAATATATATCAGGATCGACGGTAGACTTTCATACTGAATTAATAAGATCTGGATTTAGGATAATTAATAATCCAAAGGCTGATGGAGGTTGTTCATGTGGTGCTTCGTTTAATATCAAAATAGATTAATATACTGAGATGCTGAATAATATTAAGTAGAACTGAACATCCAGAATTGTTAAGATTGAACCATGCCCTTGTAAATAAATTACTCAATTGCAATACTTTAATTAACATAGAACTTTCTTTTATTATCTTTCATAATAATACATACATTTATATATAATATATAACTCATTACTAGCATTTCCAGTTAATAACGCAAAAATATGAGATAAATCGGGTCTGAATTTAAACAAAAAATTATAGTAATGGTTTATCTTGAAGCAAGTTGATCACTCAAACTTATCACTTGATCCGTTAAAACGCAAATCTGCTCCTCATAATTTACTCTCGTCGTTAAGAAGTCTTCCTCTAATCGAATATACGACGCTTTAAAATCAACAATACTCTTATCCTTCTCTTCAATTTCTTCTGCCAATAGTTCGATGTTATTCTTTAAAGTCTCACACTGAAAAATTCAGAGTAAAATTCATGTCATATTTGCTGTACATGTGTTCATAAATGCTTACCTCTGTCATGTAATTGATAACTTTCGACTCAGCTCTACTTTTCTCTTGAAATAGTTCCTCAAATCGTTTGCTAAAATGCTCGTACACAACCTGGTCACGGTTTAAGACTATTTCATGATCATCGTCGCATTTTGTTGTTTCTGGAAGGCTAAAATCGAATGATTTATTAGGAATTGATAAGCGTACTTGGACAAAAAACTTGTACGTAAATTCAAATTTTTGGAGCATTGACAGTTATAGCCTACCCTTTAGTCTGACATGGAGATGATTTACTTCCGCTGCTCTGACTGCTCGTCGGATAATTTACAAAAGTCGAATGATTGTTATTGGACATAGATGATGATGTTGATGATTGAGATGAGAGAACTTTTCTCGTAGTTGATGTCGTCTGATTACTGTTATTAATGCTATTCAAATTAGGCAATTGATTTGACTGTGAAATAAGATGCTCGTCCATTCTTAAGGCATCATTAATTTTGAGTAATTCATATTGCGTGCGATAATGGTTCAGTTCTTTTTCGAGGAATGCTATTCGATCGTCTGTATGATTGGTACTCGCCACAAGATTACTAATTGGCATTGTTGAGTCACTTTTTAGACTCGTAGAATCACCCTCACTGCCCAATTGACTTGTAGCTTCTATTATTTTCGTCTCTAACTCTGTATTTTTACTTGATAGCACCTCAATTTCTCTACGCAATTTCTTTTCCGTTTCTGAATGATTGTTACTCAATTTCGATACATGTAACTCGAGATCTTTAATACGATTTATATACATTTCAATTTCATTGTTCTTATCTGAAATCTACAAAAGGGCATCTTGCATAAGTATATTGCTATATAAAATGTAATATAATGTATATAAGAAACAATACCGTGGATGAAAGTTGCGCACATTCGATAATCTTTTTCTGGAAGTCTTCAAAGATTATTGGATCTATTTGATTAATGCCAATTGATGGATTTGATTTACTGGATTTATTGGCTCCGCCTTTTGATTTATTAAGGTTCTGAAGATCATCTTGCAGTGACGAAACTCGATGCTCGAGCTGCTTGTTCCTAAAGTTAATTGAGTCAATCTCCGATTCTGTTCTTCTCAAATTTTGGTCTTTAATTCTCAAGGATTCTTCCAGTACTGATACTTTATTTCTCTCCTCGACCACAGCATTCTTTAATACTTTTGCCTGTGCTCGTAGCTAATCAGAATAATGATTAATTAAATTTTTTTCATAAATTTGGACGAAAAAAATGGAGATAAAGAATAAAGAAATCAAAATAAATGATTAAATATGATACCTTTGAGTATTCTGTCAATAGCTTTGCATACTTTGGACTATTCTTGTCCTCTTCCATCGTTTTATTCCCAATTAATTATCGTAAATTGCATTAAATAAAGGTTTTAATTATTTTTCACTTTCAAAACAATCTCCGAGCGACACATTGCAACTGTTGATGTGACGTGGTAGCCACACAACAAACTCTGGATATGTTGTCAATCTAATCTGTCATTTGATGTCACTGAAACAGTTAAGCAAAACATTCTTGATGGTTTGAAATATTAAGGCTATTAAATGACATTGCAATATGGTTACCAAATTAACGACACATGAGATTGATGTGTCGCTCGGGAAAGAAACATAGTCATTGACGTTAGATTTTCAATTTTCCCATGGAAATAAATTTCAAACAACGAAGTTTGAATTTTCGACTGTTATTTATTTTATCAAATCAGCAAACAACTGTAATTAAGGAATGAATAGGCACGGAAGGGTTTGGAATGTAAAAAGTTCGTTAAAATTAAAGTCCAACTTTTATTCATTATCATCCATCATCAATTTTTTAATCATGATAAAAGTCTATCATGAAATATCATCAATTTATAGAGAAGTAAAAATACATGTTTCTGTCATAAATTGTGGTGTGTGGTACTTATTTCAAAAGAAACTCACTTGAATAAAAAATATATTATATCAATATATAGTATGAAGTATGTGAAGAGTCAATTATTAATTTTCTGCAATATTTATTGGAGCCGATTCTTGTCTGACAATTTGTTGTTCTTTTGATGCCTGATCGATATTCTTCAAGTCTGTGTCATGTGAAAAATAAAAATAAATATCCATTAGCATATAGAGATATAGCTGTCAATGAGGCGAGTATTTACCATGTTTTTTGATTAACTGACATTCACCGCCGTCGAGAGGAATAGAATAGATGTACATGTATCCATTTTGTGATGCAACTAACAATCTACAATAAGAATAACAAGATAAGTCAAGCAAGAACAAAGGAGAAATATAAATTCAGACCTCAACGTCTTTTGGATGGTCGTGATTGCACATGAATGTTTGATTCCAGATATGGGGAGCATAGCCGATGCAAAAGCACGTCCTTGATTGAAAACGTCTGTAACTTGTGTGGGTAATGCGTATGGAAGATAGCTAGCAACAGTGTTTTTCAAATATCCCATCCAATTATCGTCTGATTTGTGTCCAACGGCATTACTTTGATTCTGATTTAATGATGTACGATCGCCAGCGACTGTAGCCTTTTCTAATTTGAAAATATGAACCGTTTCAGTATTACTACTACAGCAAAGATATTGCTTGCAAGTGGAAAATGATAAGGAAGATATTGATACACATCGCTTGACGCCACGTCGAAATTCGTAGATTTTTGTTCCATCATTTACCGAAAAGACTCGAATTACAGTTCCCTTTTCACTTGCCGTTGCTATTTCTGATCCATTTAAGCTGAATGCCATTGCCGCTAATGGAGAATCATGTGCTGGTATCATTGTCTTTGCATTTAGATTGACAGCATCAAAAATCTGTAATTCACCACTAACGGCCGAGCCAGGATATGCCAAATAACAGTTATCAGAGTCAGCAGCTAATGCACACAAGCCATTTGAGTTGATTGGAGTATCTCGAATTGTATGAACGACTTTCATGTCCCGAATATTGTGAATATAAAGACTTTCTTCTAAGCATACGACAAGTCTAGCGCGATTCAATTTCACCGTTTTTATTGTATTCGAATATGAGTAATTGCAAATTTCTGTTCCTTTCTTAAAGTGACATACTTTTAACTTCCTTGGTGCATTCATTGACACAATTGCGAGCAATGAGCTGCTAAAAAGACGCTCAACGAGACAAATGTCATCACCAAAGCTCGAGTAAATCTCCTCAAGCTGCTGATCGACAGCATTCAATGAGAATAGACTGTAAGCATTCTTGTAGCCAACTGATAGCGATCTATAACAGATTTGCAAAAGTAAATTAATTTTGTAATGCTTCGAATCAGTTTTTGTCAATTGAAAAAAATGTATTCAACCGACTTTTTAAATTCAAATATCTTGAGAAAGTTTATCATAAAATTCAAATATTAAATGACTGTTAAAATCATTCAATTAATCTATAGAGTATTTGAGTTCTTTATCTAGTGTGTATCTATTTCTTATCGCGATGTATCATACTTTGTGTCTATGAGTAACATCACAGTGGATTAAAAATGAAAGTTTAATGATCTGACGATTAAGTAGTGAAGAGTAGCACCTGATGTATAGGAAATGAATAGCAAGCATAGTCTATATTTTCGCATTAACACGACTGACTTATTCGTAACATTTCAAGGCCATAAAATCGAAAATAAACGGAATACGACATAGACACAATTAAAGACGCAAATTACCAATTGCTTATCAAAAAATCACCTTAGGATAGTTTCTATGAACTAGCAGATTGTATGCTATTATTGTATTATGTGACTGAATTAGACGATGCTATAAATAGATACTCATTAAAATGCAGATTTTGAGGCACAAACAGACACAAATATTTGTTGATTTGCAGGAAAAAAATTTATAAAATCGATAAAAACTGATCTGGATGTCTACAAAGCTAGTTCCATTGTTCCTTAATATACTTACGTAAAGTCTTGATTAAAATTAACATAACAATTTCCACCTTCGTCAATATTTACTGCCATACTTAATTTAATTAACTTTTTTTCACCTTTTATTAAATCTTATTCTTAAAATTTCCTTAATTTACTTATTATATCACTTAATAGCTTAATGATTCTATACAAATACTTAAATTAAGTATAAAGTTTCGTGATTTTCAACAGTTTTGTTTTTCTTTCTTATAAAGTTTGCAAATCAATAAAAACACAAAGAAAATCAGCTGTTTTGTGTCAAGCTTTCCTTAGAATTCTCTTTGAATTTGTCATTTATCTCTTATCACTATCACTTTTATGCTTTTGACATAGCTCTCTCAATGCTTTTAATGACTTATAAATGAGATATTCTACTGTAATTAATTAATTCTATTTAAAATAACAATAATTCTTTTTTTTTGTTGGAATATTTTTAATCTGAGTAACTGAAGACCTCAACTAGCAATCGACAAAAGCGCATTATTTCTTTGCAAGTTGATATCATAATAAATAAATAAGTGAGACAGACATAACAACTTATCTTAGTTCAAATAAAATTTAAGTATTAAACGACAGATGATATATCCTGAACATTGATTAATTAAGGTTGATGATTGTTTAATTAAAGTGACAGACATACAAAGTGAAAACCATTAGCCAAAGAATCAGCATAGAATAAGCTAAAAGCAGTGCATCACTGACTTTGGGTCAGACATTTACGCGGGAAAACAATTCTAGAATCAACAGTTATTTACAAATATTAATTAATTTAAGTATCTACAATGGATGTGAATAAGATTAAACTGGAGATTACAAGATTCTTCAAAATGTCAGGCTTCCAGATGCGTACGGAAGTGGCTATGCTGCTTGTTGACAAAATCAAAGAATTTTCACTAGAAGATCGCAAAAAGTTTCTTGGAACTGCTTTAAGTAACATCCAGAACCAAAATATTGAGAACAATTCTATCGAAATCGATAATGTCAAGTCAATATTGAGGGTAAGTCATACTGCTTTGTGGTTATATACGTCATTAATAGTCATTTTATTATACTAGGATTCAGGAAATCGTGAGAACTTTAATGAAGAAAGCGAGACGATATTTAGTGTAATTAATGCTTTTGATGTTCCATCATATGAGTATATTAAAGAAAGCAAGAAGTTCATTATCAAAAAGAATAAACGGAAGCTTTTAGCACCACCAACATCCAGGTCAGAATACATTAGAAATAGATATAATACAATCTTACAGCGTATATTAAGACACGACCTTTTTGCACCAAATCATAATGAAAATATAAGAACATCAGAGGTCGAATCTAAAAAGTTTTCATTGAAATATGCTGAGAATCTCTTGTCAGCATCAACAATTAATGAAGTTGTCATGCTTGGATTGCTTTCTAAATTTAAGGAAGGAAAGTTCTATTTAGAAGATCCAACAGGCGCGATTCCAATTGATTTAAATGAAGCTAAATTTCATTCAGGATTGTACACAGAAGGTGGCTTTATGCTTGCCGAAGGATCATACAATGATGGTGTCCTTAAAGTCAATGGACTTGGATTTCCACCGTTAGAACCAGCAACAAGCAGTCGAGCATATTTTGGGACACAAAACTATTGGGGTGGTCCATCACCAACATTATTAAAATACTCAAAACGTCTTCTTGACTATGAACGACTTAATTTTGGTGCTAGCTTAATCTTTCTCTCAGACTGCTGGCTAGACGATTCAAATGTCATGGATAGACTTAAGAAGCTATTTCTAGGATTTGATGATTCGCCACCAATTGCTATTATTTTAATGGGACCATTTTTAAAGAATAAAGGAAGTCCAGCATTACTTAGAAGCAAATTTGCACAGCTTTCTGACATCCTTGACTTGACTTTTACGCTAAAAAATGAAACTGACATTGTCCTAGTGCCTGATATTGAAGATCCTACGTCTGCAAATATTCTGCCTAGACCACCTTTACCACAAACTATCGTTCAAGACATGATGAAGAAGCACAAACGAGTCATTCTAGCTACTAATCCATGCAGGCTTCAATATTGCACTCAAGAAATCGTCGTATGTCGTCTTGATTTGCTCAGAAAATTATGTAGGAATACGATCAAGTTCCCAGAAAATGGTCAACTTGCTGATCATGTAAGACTTGATTTTAAAGTGATTTAAATTCTTTTAATTAACGCTCTTTTGCTTCCAGTTTGCTCGTACTTTAATGTGTCAAGCGAGCTTAACGCCTTTTATTCAGCTTGTGATGCCTACATATTGGGATTTTGATTCATCTTTAAGTCTATATCCATTGCCTGATTTAATAGTTATTGGCGATAACAGCACAGACTTCCAGAGAACACATAATGACTGCACAATCGTTAATACTGGCTCATTTCCTCGATCAAAATATTCATTTAAATTGTACACTCCAAGCAGTAAACTTATTGAAGATTCTCAAATACCAGATGATGATAATGAGAATGAATCGTGATTTTATGTCTATATTCAATAAATTAATTAACATGTGGCGTTTCCGTTAAATTAATTTTTATATTTGTGGGTCATATTTAACCGTCATAAATAATTTGAAATCGTTGGGCATTTTAGAATAGCCGAAAAGTAAATAAAATAAATGCAAGAATTTCATGGATTCAGTTATAGTCTATAACTAAGGTAAATAAATGCTTTTTAACATAATTAACTTGATCAAAAAATTAATAACCACTTAATCTACAGAATTAATATTAAAAAAAGCCAAATCAATCAAGATGAGCAAAGAAAAAGGTGAAAGCATGGCTGATAAAAAGAGAAAATCTGAAACAATTAATATAATAAGGCATGTAGGCGATAGATTAACGGAATTAAAGAAAATATACAATGATGTTAATACAAGGAAGTCAGAAATGTTAATCCATCAGTTATTGCCAAATCATATACGAAGAAGAGGAATGTCACACAATCCAAAAAGGCTGCCTAAACGATACAGAGCTGCTCATATCAATCAAATGCAGAAATCTGGACTGGAAAATAAGCCTAAGAAGAGACCATCCAGAAAATATCGACGCAGACCAGCTAATTTAATGAAAGAATATTGTAGACGAAAACTTAAGAATGTATGGCTTGAAACTCATATTTGGCATGCAAAACGGTTTAAAATGAAGGATCTATGGGGCTATAAAGTTCCATATTCATCCACAAACAAAAGATATAGAGCATCATATAAAGCAATTAAAAGTCACTGTCTTATTCAGGATATTAGCTACTATTCATGCATAGAAGTTACTGGTGAGCTGCCAATATTGACTGAAAGGCTGTCTAAAATCGCATCAAAAGATTGTGGATTAACATTGACAGCAAAGTGTTATTTAAATGGAACTAGAGAAGGTCAAGCTACTGTTTTTAAGAAAGATTCGTATCCATACAATGCAATAGCACAAATCTCATTTATTTGGAAACAGAATGATGAATCTCGAAAGACCATCTGGATCTTTGTTCATCCAAGTGCTTATAAAGAGTTATTAAAGGAACTAATCGAGCTTTTTGAGACAGTAAGTGTTCAGAATTTAAAATCGACATTAATAAGAAATCCAAAGTATTTAAATTCAGCTATAAACGTTGAGATTATAGAATTAAAAGATACGCTTAATAGATATCGATTAACTGGACCATTCTCGAATTCAGTAATTACTAAAACATTCAGCATGGCTGATAAAAATCAAAATACATGGCTGAAAACCTACATTAATGATAATCCACACTATGCTGCAAGTTATGAGCAACAAGTGGCTATTTATGATAGTTTAAGGAACACATCGTCAGCATTTGAGTATCAAACTAGCGGTGTTTTAAGTCTTATAGTCACAGATCCGAGAACAAACCGTTTAAATGCACAAAAAATCTTCCGTACCCAAAATGATTCATTTAATAGCGGTAATTATGTACTAAATATACCTAAAACAGCATCATGCTCTCCTTTATGGAACAAGGAACTTCGTGATGAGATATTTAAAACTAAATTACCAAACAGTGAATTAAATAAATTACGGAATGAGAAGCAATTACTTCCAGCCGTTGCTGCACCATTTGAAAAAACCTTACAGCCAATTCCCATTATTTTAATACAGCGCGGACATTTATCATCATTAAATGATAGAAGAAGCAATAACTTGGGTGATGGATGGGATATAATTGTTCCTGCTGGTTATGGACTAAGCACTTGGCTGTCACTTATTAAATTTGGTGCACGAGTTGTTGCTGGATTTGAGGAAGAAAACTTAATTATGAATGAGATGAAAGTTGACATTTTTCAGCCAGACACAGTGATGGGAATTAAGGAATATGAGCGCATTGGAATCGACGAGACGGAAAAATATTTTAAAAAGCCACCAAATAAGCGCATTAATTACAGAAAGTTCAAGATTTCATCGCCATTTTCACTTCCATTTATGAAATTAATTAATGAATGGAGAAAAGGAACTGACGACTTTTATATCCTAAGAAACAAGTCACTGTTAAATGAACTTAATGTTGCTGTTCATAAATCCACAGATTTTAATTTCGACAAGATTGATTCTAATGCCTTAATTCCAATTTTCATGACCAATAACGGTGAATATAGAATGTCGAAAGACTGCAATTTTGGACTCATTTGCTTGCCACGATGTAGAGACATCAAAAGAGCACTAGAACTAGATTATACAAAAACTAAGGAACCAATTTTAATTGAGGAAAGTGGACATGATGAAACGGAAGGAATGCGCAAAAATGTCAGATTTAATCACAAGAAACTATTGAAAAGATTAAGGAACCGACGTGTAAAGGCGAAAAGGAAGCTCCAAGCTGTGTCTGAGAAATTTGTCAAGATTCAAAAGAGTCAAACTAAGGATATGATTGAAAAGTACTTTAAGGATATGTGCGATTTGTGGCTTCCAAGTAAAAGTTCATCAATTAGACATCAATGTTCGCGAGAAGTCATTGGATATATATCAAAGTCTTATTTTAGATTCACAGACGGTAAAGTTTGTGCTATTGGATATTTGACATGTGATGGATTGAAAGCTTTAATGGATATTTTTAAAAAGTTTAAAAAATTAAAGCCATTTGTTCTTACTAGAGCTACAAACAGCAAGAACTATTTTAAAGCCAATTTTCATGTTAATTTTTGATAATGAATTTAATTATTAAAAATTTTATCGACTTTTTTAAATTCAAATCTTTTAATATGCCCCACATTTTCTCCAAAAAATAACAAACTTTTCAAATTCAAACAACTACATAAAGCGCTTTCTGAGTGTGTCGATTTTAACCAATCATCTACTTGTTTTCGTGCATTCCGCGAGTTATTTTGTAAAATTCAATTAAAAGTAGCTGAATATGTCAGGTTTTAGCTTCGGAACCCCGCAAACGCCTCAACCGGCTCAGAATACAGCACTTCCAGCATTTGGAACGCCACAAACAACGTAAATATTAGCTTAAATGTTATTTTTTGTGTCTTATAAAATTGTTTTGTTTTTTAGAACATCCAGTGCTGGATCTTTTGGAAGTACGCCAATAGCAAGTGTCGGAATAAGTGGATCAACAGGTGGATTTTCGTTCGGGGCAGCAGCAAAACCGATTACAGGCTTTGGAAGTCCAATGCCTAATCCAAATAATCCATTAACTATGATTAATAATCCAATGCAAAATACAAATCCATCATTAGTACCACAAACAGCTGCACCACCAAGTTTCCAGCTATCTACAGCATCAACGACTACAACTAACTTGCTGCCAATAAGTTCGACCCCAATTTCAGCAGTTGCACCGGTCCAGAATAATCAGTTTTCATTTGGAACAACTGTTGCTAATACAGCACCGAGTTCATTTAACTTTGGACAGACATCTAGTGCTCCTACAATTGCGCAACCGAGTTTATCATTATCTACAACAGCTGTACCGAATACACAGCCTAGTTTATTTGGTGGAATCACTTCAAGTGCTCCAGTTCCAGTTCAAACGACTCAGCCATCTATAAATACATTTGTAGGACTGGGAGGAATCGATATGAGCACTACACAGCAACAAAAAGTCTTGAGTGAAGGAAAGGTAGAAGTAGCTAAAGAAACTCATGTTCCAAGTCAAATTGTACAGTCGATTGAGGAATTTAAAACGTATGTAAAGAATCAGAAAACGATTTCGTCGGAAATTGCTCGTTCATCAGATAGGAAGTTAAAGACAGTTACGGATGAGATACAACGTATGAATTGTGTTCTACAGGAAACATCAAATAACATTGATAACAATAATTCAGCTTTAAGGCATTTAAGGAATGAAACAGCAAAGATTATCGAAAATGCAGATATGGCACAAAGAACACACGAAACGCCTGTAGCATTACAATTTGAAAATGTCATGCCACAAATTTATTTCAAAGACTTGATACAAAAGTACGAAACAGATCTTTTGAATTTGAAGCAACAAGTTGAATTAACGGAAAAACATCTTCAATCATTAGCTAATCCACAAATGTTTAGTGCTGAAGATTTAAAGAAAGGCTTACAGCAATTACATGAAAGCTTTATCGCATTAGCTGGACGATTGCAGGAAGCTCATTCTAAAGTTGAGACACAAAAGACAAAATATCTTGAGCTTCGGAAAGTGATGCTTAGAGACACAACTAATGTATTTGAGGAAAAGGAATCGACATCAGGAAATAAGGATTCTAGAATCCAATATGGACCAAATGCTTTCTCACAAGACACGACTCAGCCAGGATATCTTAATTTATCATTTCAAAAGGCTCAACAGCAACAAACAGCTCCTGGGAATTTCTCATTGCAACCGAATTCAAGTTTCAACTTTATGACCAAAATGTAGAAAATGTGTCTTATTATGTCTGAAATAAAATTATTCAAATGTTCTCTTTTTTAAAATTTGGATTTTGAACGTATTTTTGGAATTTGAAGTTTATTACAGCTGTAGTTTTAGGCTCTGCAAAATGTCAAATTAATAGTTTCGTACCCCGGAAATGTAAAAAATAAAAACAAAGCATCGTGCTTAGTGAAAATTAATTAAAATAGCATTAAATCACAGTCAAAGAACAGTTAATTAAAGAAAAGCTTGTATCTTAATCTGTAACCGATCTAAAACTCGAGTTAAATCGGTAAAAATTGAAGTTTTTTTGTGTTAATTTGACATTTCTCCTACAATTAAGGATGTCTCAAGTTGAAGAACGTCCACAAGCATCGAAAACGTCTCAAGATAGACAATCAGTTGAGAATCTTCGATTATATTCTTACATGGAAGATAATTTTACAAGAATTTTCAGCTTGTTGGCACCAATTATGTCATTTTCTATCCAAAATGAGAATCACATCCGTCAAATCATGTTTAGTCTTCAACATCCCGATGCTCAACAAGCTAGTGCTGAATTTGACAGCCGAGAATACATTCATAACTTGGCTTTAAAAAGTCATGAAAAAGTCGCTGGATCTTCTAATGTCCAAACATCAGAAGAATCTATAGCTTCAACTATAAGACGGAAAATTGACACTTCATTATTTGACAAAGTTGAAAATAATCATGACGAATCGAAAGCTGAAACTTCAACGGATGATATTAAGGAAAACTCAAGTCCAACTACTTCCAAAGGACAGCAATCACCTGAAAGTGCTGACGAAAAGGCTAAACCGCGTAGAAAACGCAAGTTGAATGATGATAATCCCGTTGTTATTCATTGTTCTGACTGTAATCAAGTGTTTAGAAAAGGCGATGGGAATTATACTCGCCATCTAAAGGAAATGAAGTGCAGTCCTCACGGATGTTCAGGTATGTTAAGCAGTCACACTTTTGAATTACTTTTTGTCTATATCTTTAACTTTTTTCAGTTTGCGGAAAGCGATTTAAGAAAAAGTCGTACCTAAGCATTCATATGGCTATCCATACACGCACAACATTCGATGAACCAGAACTTAAAAGAAGTCGCATTAAAGACGAAAACGAAGAAGAATTGCCGACACCAGTTGATTTGAGCGTTAAAAAGGAAAATCAAGGCAACAATTCCGAGTTCTTCAGTTCCTTGAATCTTTTTGAAAATAATCGTTCAGATGAAAATTAAGTTCTGTTTTCTTTAATTATGTTAACTTCTCACTTTATAAATCTACTCTTTTTTCTGGAAATTTAAAAACATTTTAAGCTTAATCTCATTTTTGAACAATTTACTACAATTCGTGGAATAATATAAAAATCTCAATAAATTATATTGGAACAAATGGAGACAGACATACAGACTCAAAAATATTGCATTAATTACGATTTAATTGATATTTTTTTATGATGCACACATCTGCTTTTATTTATAAGCGAAACGAGATGAATTATGATGGAAATGTACAGTTACAATAAGGGTAGAATCTCCTGAAAACTTTGGTCGGCAATGAGAACATCAAAATTGTAGAAATTGATAGATGGACATAACTAAGGTACCAAAAATGAGAAAATTCCAATCCTTAATGATTTTTGCAAGGGGAAAGAACTCGTATGAAAATGCGTGAAAATACATGTAAATGCAGGGTCAGAACTGATTGGGAATGGTTGGAATCTAATTGAATAAGGAGCGAGTTTCGACTTAAAGCATCAAGGGTTGAACTATTGTCAGGAACCGAAGTAGAAATAGGAGGAGGTGCTGAGAGGCGTGAAGGATTTCTGATTTGCAAATGTCCCCGTTTCAAATGATCAACGAAATTTCGCTTACACAATGTATTGTTACGACTAGGATAAATAATTGAATATGATAAATGACATAACGGACAGGTAGCAAGAAAATTCTCTGTATCTACTGCAACCTTTGCACCGTTAAGGATATTTGGAAATAATTTTTCAAATTCTACCGTTAAAAGTCCAGTCCATTTTGCGATACGACGTTGAATCCCATTGCTAACATTTTGCATATTACTTGTAGACGCTGTATTTCGTCCCGCAGATGCACGATAGTGATAAGCGATTGTCTTAATTTTTCCAACGACTATAAATGGTATCTTAAAATTTTGAACTGTACAAAAGCAATCGCTTATAAAAGTTGAAACTTCTGTAATTAGCTGATTGTCAATGCCTGGTCCACCTGTGAATATTTGTATTATCTAAAATAATTCAAACTTGTTACAGACTTAAAAAACTTTTTAAATACCGGTAAAATACATGTAAATGTAGGTTTTTGCATGTTTATGCATGTATATACATGTAAATGCGGGAAAATGAGGGAGAATGCTTGTAAATACAGGTGAATGTGAGAAGATTTAACAGTTCTTTCCCCTTGATTTTAAATGATAAAGAAAGCTAATATAGATATAAAATCGAAATTTTTTTGAAAATAGCCTACTATGATCAAAACCAAAAATGCTTTAAATTGTATTTTAAAACATATCTAGGTATTATAAATGATAAAGAAAGCTAATATAGATATAAAATCGAAAAATTTTTGAAAATAGCCTACTATGATCAAAACCAAAAATGCTTTAAATTGTATTTTAAAACATATCTAGGTATTTTAAATGATAAAGAAAGCTAATATAGATATAAAATCGAATTTTTTTTGAAAATAGACTACTATGATCAAAACCAAAAATGCTTTAAATTGCATTTTAAAACATATCTAGGTATTATAAATGATAAAGAAAGCTAATATAGATATAAAATCGATATTTTTTTGAAAAAAGCCTACTATGATCAAAACCAAAAATGCTTTAAAATGCATTTTTAATCATATCTGGGTATTATAAATGATAAAGAAAGCTAATATAGATATAAAATCGAAATTTTTTTGAAAAAAGCCTACTATGATCAAAACCAAAAATGCTTTAAAATGCATTTTTAATCATATCTGGGTATTATAAATGATAAAGAAAGCTAATATAGATATAAAATCGAATTTTTTTTGAAAATAGACTACTATGATCAAAACCAAAAATGCTTTAAATTGCATTTTAAAACATATCTAGGTATTATAAATGATAAAGAAAGCTAATATAGATATAAAATCGATATTTTTTTGAAAATAGTCTACTATGATCAAAACCAAAAATGCTTAAAATTGCATTTTAAAACATATCTAGGTATTATAAATGATAAAGAAAGCTAATATAGATATAAAATCGATATTTTTTTGAAAATAGCCTACTATGATCGAAACCAAAAATGCTTTAAGTTGCATTTTAAATCATATCTAGGTATTTTAAATGATAAAGAAAGCTAATATAGATATAAAATCGAAATTTTTTTGAAAATAGCCTACTATGATCGAAACCAAAAATGCTATAAATTGCATTTTAAAACATATCTAGGTATTATAAATGCAGGTAAATGCATGAATATACATGTAAATGCGGGAAAATGAGGGAAAATGCATGTAAATACAGGTGAATGTGAGAAGATTTTACAGTTCTTTTCCCTTTGATTTTTATGATTTGAAACTCAAATGTGCAAATTCATAGAACTGAAAGGTTGAGGTTCCTTCCAAATATTCATCATCATCGCTCTTTTCATTACATATTGTTAGCATGAAACAATAGAATATTTTGACAAAATATGTAATGAAGAGTCTAGGGATAGAGTAACAAAAGCGCATATCCTAATTCTAAGTTTGCATCATTAAATTAACGTTTTTTTTGAACTTGAATTTTTGCCTCAGTTAAAGCAAAAAACATTTGAATGTTAAAAGTCTGTTATTTATTCAAAATAAATTAATTACTAGAATGCAATGACAAACTGATCACAACAGCACATACCCGACAAATATGCATAAAAGGAGATTTTTCAGCATGAAGAGCTATTAGTTCAACCAGATTTTATATGTATTTTCAGAAAAATAGTCAAGAACTTTTCTCTCTGCTCTGTTGTGTGCTGATGAATGGCATTCCGTAAATGAACTTTTTTCATAAATTTCTATAGAATCCTTTTTTTTCCATTGCTGCTCTCTCTATGCTGTGTGTACATAAAAGTCTAAAGTTTTTCTACTAGTTTTTCACATTTTTCATCCTAAACTATTTTGCATGAGGTCATACTAGCTATGTCCGAAAAATATTAATGAATATATTCATAAACATACAACAAGCTTAAAAATCATGAAATTTTATTAAATTGTATAAATTGACTCCTATCGCCTATATCTTTAATTTGATCCATTTCATCCTATTGCCGTTTAGAGAGGCAATGCTATTCATGCCAAATTAGTCCTCAGAGTAAAATTTATAAATTTTAATGGATAAACATTTTGAATCCTTCTCTTCGCTGCCGCTTAATTCTCCCTCGTTTGCATGACCTGCTTAACATTCATTGCATAAACTCGACTCTTTTGCTCTTTATTGTTTAATTAAATTAAGGTTTCGAAATGAGCAAAAATTTTACTACAGTCTTCAAAATGAAATGTTGTTCTTGGGAGGGCAGATATCAATAAAAATCAATTTCAGATCGCTTAATTCCTTTCGTACTTCTAGAAAATTTTATATTTTAGCCAGAAGTCATTTGATTATTTAACGATAAATTTTCTATGAAAAGGTGTCTTTAAAGGTTTATAGACGATTTTTAGGGGCTGTATAAAATTTTTAATGAATAAGTTTGGATGAAATTGGCGATGTTCATGAGCGTCTTTGTATTTTTGGCAATTTTTTGGTTGTTACATATTCATTCAAACGGATTCAAACCTTAGTAAACTAAATTACAACTTTCCATTGATGGGGGTCGAGATTGGGAACTGACAACCATGCACTGTTTGATTTGTATCAAGCCCCTCTGAAGTTAAGTCAGTTGTAAAGCAAGAATCAAGCGAGCCAAAGAACCAGCCCCCCCCCCCCCATTTATTTTTCTAAGGTTAAATCCCCCCAATTTAAAATTTATGTGATAATTGCCGTGGGACACAGTTTGGATAACACTGCGACCACTGTTTGCATCATATTTTGAGTAGCACTGTACTGAGAGGGGTAATAAATGAATGAACCGTAAGAAATTTCGATATTACATCAATCATTTAAAACAGTGATGGATAACCTTTGTACCACGGCACACTAGTGTTCCAAAAAAGGTCCAGAAATTCCACGAACCTTGTGATGTAACCAATTTCTGCCAATGACCCCCCTCCCCCAAAAGTGTTGCCTTAAAAGGTTATTCACAACTGGTTTAAAACTCACACCTTGTTAGACATTCAGACAATCAAAATGAAACCAACTCCTCTTAAAGTATCTTCAGATGTAAAAGGTGCTATAAAAATCGGATCGATTTAATAAAAATCTTATTTCAATCTCGAAACTGTTATTAGGAAATTCTTTTAATTAAAATTTCATCTACTCACATACATTGAAGCATTTTTAAGTATTTAATTAATTTTCCTCTCCTCCTTGCTTAAAGAGATTAATACTTTTTCTTTTTCTTCTTGTTCTTAACAACCCAGAATATTTTTTATTGTACGAAAAAAAAAATTGCAATTAAATTTATAATTTTGCTTTATCGTTTTTGGAGCTACGCATGTGCTTTTTAATTTTGATGTCTTTAAGGTATGTACATGCAAGAGAGATGAACATGAAAGAGAAAGAAAACTTTATTAAATTCTTAAGGCAATTAGCGTTAATTTCTTACGTAAGAGATAAAAAGGAAATAAGTGACATTACTTCTTCTTCTTCCTGATAAAAAGTCATTTAGGGATAAATTTCATTAATTTGCCCTTCGTAATGTGAAGCTTTTAAGTTCATTTTTATGCGAGGAACTTTCTTATTTGATCATTTATGTGACTTTTTTGTGTCATTATGAAAGGAACTTGAAAAAGTGTCGTAAAACCAATGGGAGAGTTCATCAATGATGTCTAATGTCTAAAGTATAAATTGGAGTTTGGAGATTTTTGATGGTTAAGATGAAATCTTGAAGATTAAATGTGTAGATTGTCTAGATCATTTGTAATACAAAAGTTTAGACCAACATCAATCAGTAATGAGATTACAGCACAATCTTCAATGATTGAGGAGCTCAATGAACAGCTCTACTCTAAAATCGATAATCTCAGCTTCACAACCCTTCTCCGATAAATTTAGATTGATGTCATTTGTTAACTCCCCCTACCAGTCTCTTACGACTCATTATTTTCAATCTTTTTAATGTACACACAAGAACAATAAAGGTCCTTCTTGAATGCACACAACAAGTTTTATGCCACACAAAAAATAGACACAAACGAGATTCCTTCTTAATAATTGAAATTGTGTAGTTTATTTCACGAGCATTATATAACAGATTATCATGGAGATGGA